TAAGCTTAACAGTCTTTAAACTGTTTTGTTATTGCCACTTTGTGATCAAATTGCATGCTTTGTGCCGACTGTAAGGCTGACGTCAATCAGACCTGTCAACAGTCATTGTTGTCGCCAATAGGAGCTTGCAACAGGATCTGATCACAACGGGTGCTGTGGAACGGCACCCCCAAATGTTTGTCTACAGGCATTTTCCCTCTCCCCAGTTCCCCATTCGACCAAGGGCCTGTTCACAGGCTAGAGGTGAACCAGGTGGCTATTTTACAATCGTGGCTGAGGATTTGAACTCAGGACTACCAAGAAGAAATCCAGCTGGTGGTCAGGGTGGTTGGTAAACCATTTGCAAATCTCCTGGGTAGGACCTTGGGGAGTTTGCCTAGAATCACAAACACCCCCTACTCTTATGAATTATTACTGCTGACCAACATGTTGGTAGACTATTTGTAAATCCCCTGGGTGAGTATGCCTACAATCACAAATACCTTCTAATGTTATGCACACCGTTCAATTTGACCTGTTTGACCTGTAGCCATCCCTCCCTTACACTCCCCCATCCTCCCCTCCTGCAAGCAACTCCCGGGTCAAGTGCAGCCTTTGGGGCAAGAGAGTGGCGAATTGTTTGGGGCAGTCCTGTCCTGGGAGCAGGGGGTGGGGCAATCAACTTCTCTTAGATTTTGTGAAGTATGTGTCATTTTGTGTGCGGTTTGCACAATGGCTGCAGACCTCAAGACTACATATTTTCAGGGGCAAATGCAGGAATTTGTCGGAGAGTGTTTGGAGAGGGATAACCTACATGTATCAAAATTGAAGTTTGTATTTAAAGGTAGGTTTTAAATTTTCAAACGAATGTTTGTATGATGCGTACTCAAATGAATTTTTTTGCCAAAGAATCAAAGAAATATTTATTTAGCCTAGTTAAAAATAACACAAGTTACTTAAATAGACTGTAAACTGTATATGAAAATGGAAACAAGGCTTTTAATATATATCTGTCTGGATTTGCAAAAAGGTACCTCCAGGATTTTTTAGCGACAGTTTCATTTTTTTTTCTTATTATGTTTTCAGTAAAAAAAAACCTTACAAGCTGCAGTAGACCAAAAAACATGTTAATACTGCTGTTTACATCTTAACTACATTATTTTTAACTGTGTTATTCTTCTCTCAATTAACTCTAGAAAACATTTATAAAAGTTCTAAAAATGCCAGGTTTTGCCATTGTATGGAAATCAATATTCCTCTCAAAAGATGTACTCCAAAAATTGTATATGAGGTTGATCAGGAGCCCAGCAGTAGGGAATTGACTCTTTTTGCATGTCCGGGGATGGGGAATAGACCATAAAGAGAGAAAAAAAATTGCAAATCCCAAGGGGTGTGGCCAGGGGAGGGGGCATGGTAACAGGTCAAATTGAACCATGCATTATGAATAATTATTGCTGACCAACCTGTTGGTAAACCATTTGCAAATCCCCTGGCAGGACCTTGGGTTTTTGCCTTAAAACACAAATGCACTCTAATTCCAAGGCTCTGGGCAAGGTTTTACAACAAAATATAATGCCCCAGCATGCCTGTTGGTTGTCCAGGGGTGTACCCCCAGGGATGGTCATTGATATACCCACATAACTTAGTCCAGACAAATCATTGTTTGTAGATCAGTGTTTTTTAATCTGGATTGAAATTTTATACAAGAATTTACTTTAAAAAACTGACTTGATGATGAAGTCAATTTTCTATCGTAAACAGCTTCCGAAGCTGACTTTTTCCATATTGTACCATTGATCAGGGTCAGTCAAGGGATTGCAAATTATGTGTTGTTTCTTAAGCTGACTTGAAAGAGGTTGTTGTCAATAAAACGAGTAAGAGACTGTATGACTTTGTTGAAGGTGTTAAGCTGTAGTCAGTTGGCACTTCATCTTTGCTTTATTTCAGTGAAGTGTAAAAGGCATACAGGAAAAAGGTTAAAAGACTTCACTGTATGGTTGAGTTATCATGAATGTGAAAGTTGTAGTTTGATCATCAGATTTCTGTTCACTTGTAAAGCGAAAGTCTGACTGAGAGAACACTCCTACTCATGTTCAACATTTTAGATATTTCTTGCTGACATCTGTAATACTTTTTTATACCTTATTCTTCTTATATCAGCTATCAGCTTGTCTACATTGCACAATAGTGAGGATGAGCAGTGACTTAAAAGGCCAAAATATTCCAATGCAGTTAATTTTAATTTGGTCCATAACAAGTACATACGTACACAAATAAACTTTTCAGGACTATGCATAACTAAATTTCTTTATTGATAATATTACATGTATGTACATTGACCATAAGACTGCTAAAGCCTTGGGAAAGCATAATGATAACAAAATGTAAACATTGGTTTTAGTTATTTTCCTTTTCATGTAATTATGGCCGTAACAAATTCCTGTCAGATCATGGAAAGCATTTCTCTGAGTATATGTTAGCAAATAAATGTCTATCATTTTGCTCTTGGTATATATAGTAATACATGTACGTCACGGTGGCCATGTTTGTTGACAAGAACATAAGCGTTGTCTTCTTCTCTTTTCCTCTTTTTTCTGGAAAAAATTTGTATTGTTTTGTCAATTAACATGACCGCCATGTCCGGTGGTTTCAGACCAAGAATACTTGACCATCTTAGCATCACTTTAAACCAAACCCGTGGTTGTCAAGTTAAAATAATATAATACGCATTTCTGAAAAACATCTCTAAATCTAAATATTGCATCACATAAATTTGCTAAGGATGCACTAATAATATAATATTTTTAACAGTGTGGGGGCAACACTAAGGGCCAAGAGCCAGGGATTTCCTCCTGTTACTATAAGCATACCTCTCAGCTACTTTCATGGCAAACAGGAAAATAACCAAAAGAAATCCCTAACTGTTTAATATTATGGAACATAATTGCCTACTGATTGCATATTATACCTGGCAACTTGAAATCTAAGCAGCAACCCTGTTTACATACCGTACATGACCTAATAAATGCCTGGGGTGTCTATTTAATTTTAGGGGTCCAAGTGGGGGTGTTTAATAGATAGGAGGTGTTCTCGTAACTGTAAAAAAACTAATGTGCTTTTGGCAAAAATATCAAAAGAGTTTAAAAATAGCAGAATATCCAGTCTATCAACTAATACGTCAAGACCTTCTAGAAGTCCATATCGCTCTTTCAAATCCCAACAATTTGATGTCAGAATCCTTGCTCAGGGTTATTGTGTTGCCATTGTTAGTCTATCCTTACTTTAAACTTGACACTGAGCAAGATCAATATAATATATTATTACATTCTAAGAAAAATCTGGGAAAAACTGTTTGATATTCAATATTTATAAACTTCCTTTATATATATTGTTACTTTAATTTCCTTTTGATAATAATTGTATCCGTCGCTGTATTTTTTGTGTTGTGTTTGGAAAATTGTAATTGAGGAGGCCTAATTAACATCAGCTATGTAGTTTCCTTTAGGTCTCCCTGCCATTGCTTTCTACTTTTTTTGCATCTTTTTTGTAATTGTAATCATATACTTTATCTGTGTGGCAAATAAAACACAAAAATACAAATCAAGCAAGAAACTGAATGAATTGAATGATTTTGCTCCTTTTTTGTAATTTCCAGCATTTTGGAGTAATTCTCAAAAGGGGTCATCTATTAGACAGGGGGCGTTTATTAGAGGGGTGTCTAATACCATGTTAAAAACGTAGAGGGGGTGTTATTAGGTCATTTACGTTAACCACGTGTTTATAAATATCTTGTCAAAAAGGAAGCTCTCTGCATTATCAAAACATTCCTTTTTAAATTTACATTAATTACATAAATGTTTTCCAGTTAAATAAGACACTTACTGTTTAGCATATATATTTTTAAACTTCTTGTTTTTACACTTTTACTTTACGTTTTGCATGTTTATGCATGCATGGACATGTGCAAATATCTTAATCAGCCAATGGTGCAAGCAGCATTCATTTTTACTGAAAATACAATTGTTTTGTGATGTGCTTAAAATTTGTAACCCTACTGTAGAAACAAACAAGTCCATTTCCTAATGTATCAAGTTGTTACAAATAAAAAATGTAATCCGTTTGGTGGATTACACTAAGTCAGCTGCATGCAAAAACTAGGGTAATTCAGAAAGCATGCACTTTTGAAACATTTTCCAAAATGTTTCAAACATTATAGGATAACAGAGTTTTTCAATAAATCATGTTATTTTTTGTCACTTTTTCATTTTAATGGTTTTTGCCAGGAAATATGTCTCAAGATTGCCAGAACAAAAAGACATGGACAAAAAGTAAAAATAATAATAGGCAATTTTGAAAAAGCATGCAGAGATATTGTGTAAAGAGAAAGTGTAAAAAACATATTTCAAAAGGAGAAATTGATTTAGAAGATTTAGAAAATACTGTAGTAACAAAAATGGATGGACTAAACTCAGAGCTCAGTATTACCCAGCTGTTGAGAGAATGTTGAGACCATTAATTTTGATCTGTACACTGTACTTGATAATGCAAGCAAACTATTAAAGGGGCAATAAAAAAGTTTGAAAACAATTGTCAGTGTGCAAAGAAAGTAGTGTCTGGTAGCCGGGGGCTAATGAATTTTGCTATTGGGCTAGTGAATTCTGTTCTTAACTTGCCCAACAGAGTTCTTTGGGGAATTCAAATTACAGAAGAACTGTCAGTAATCAATCCTGGTCATCGAAAATTTATTTTCAGGCTACTTGAAATGAATTTTGGGTTAGTACATGCTTAAGTGCAGCTTCCTTGAATGGCAAGCTGTAAAACTGACTTTCTTTGCACCCTGCCTGAATTGTGTGCAGCCCCTTTCCCTCCAATTTGCTGCAAATGGATTGTATCAAGAAATTTGTTACAAATTCTCCAAGCTCTTAATGTATTTCCTGAAACCCTGACTTTTGTTAAATTACATACTTATGACTGTATTCAGTAGCTGTATTGAATAACCAATGTTATCTACTGACAGGATTTCAAGCATCACTCTTCCTGTGGTTTTTGCAGAAGTCATTTATTCTCTTGCAAGCCATCTCTGTCATAGCTTCAGGTACTGTGAGGACAATGCGGAAGAAGTTGGGATACTGAAAGCACTAAAACAGACACAGCATCAGAGCTTGTATTAGTGGATCAACTTATCACACAAATGTGAAACTTTGGGCTGAGTGAGTACAACTTATTTTGATTAAATATATTTTTAATATCAAGCAGAGAAAAGGAATATTACAGTGGAACCTCCCTTAAAGTGAACATTTAGAGTTCGCTCACCAGGAAGTGATCTTTTAAGAGGATCAACCTACAGGAGTCTTTAGAGAAGAGGTTCCCAGTGGCAGATCCATAGGAGGGGCCGGGGGGCCTCCACCCCCTTATTTCTGCCACTGGTTCCGACATCTTTTTGGCAAAGAATATAAGATAATACACATGATACAGCATGCAAAGCAAGTAGTCCAGGGCTAGTGGATTTTGCTATCGGGCAAGTAAATTCTGTTCTCAACTTGCCTGACAGGCAAGTGAAGTATTTTGAGGAATTCAACTTACAGAACAACTGTGAAATCATTTCTGCTCATCAAAAATTTGGGGGGGCTAGCTGAAATGACGTTTGGGCTAGTAAATGCTAGCTTCAGCTTGGCCGAATGGCAAGCAGTAAAAAATGACTTTCTTTGCACCCTGTGATATGACTTGCTTTAATTTGTTTCATGTTGTCACTTATAAAAGTTCTTTGCATACTCTTACTAGCATAGCTAGTATATACTTGCAAGTTAGGTTTCATTACCACTCAAGGCTTTTACTGGGAAAATTTTGGAGTTTTGGATAGGTGTGGCTACCTACGAGAAGTGGTCGCACATGGAGTTTCAACTGTATGTTTCTTGCTACATTCAGATGCTCATGTATTTTGGATGAACTTCATTTTTTTAAAATTTGTATTGTTTTATGTCTTGTTCTGTGATAAGTGATTTTGTGATAAACTGTTAGCTTCTGCTGCTTTCTTGGAAGATTGACATCCTAGGGTTGTTTTAGACTGTTGTAAGCAACAAATGTGACTGCCCCCTTGACTAGCTTAAAGTTTTAGTTTTTTTTTTATTCCACTGACGAAAAGGGATTTTTTTGGCTATTTATTGACATTAATTTGGATTGTTGTTGACATGGACTGTTTATTTTTAAGTAATTTGCGTAACTGATCTACGATACAAGACACAATGTCTGTTTTACACAATGCAGTGCTTATTAATGCAACCTGACATGAGTTTTAATTAGGCCCTTAAATCATACCTTACAAATTTTGTAAGTAAATGTAAAAAAGACATAAATTATCATTAAATTACCTTTCCAGGAAGGCAAAATACAGACTGTTCTGATATTAGCTTTTCTGTGAAATCAAGGTCATCCAAAATGCCATCCAACTTGGGGATATCAATACCAACCTGAAACATGGAGTTTGATATTGAAAGCTAAAAATTTATTCCTCACAACTGTAGGTTTAATTAATGAGAAATCGCAATGTTACAAAGGGGGCGTGTTGTGTAAGTTGTAAGCACTGGGTTCCATCTTAAAAGTATTGTACAGTGTTACACTTCGGATGAAAAATATTCAAATGAAACACCCTAATCCTTCCCAATTATTTGTAACTCACCATCATGTACATTGCTCCACAAGGCATTATGGGCTTGAGTTCGGGAATTCTAAGGAGCGCCTCATAACATATTTCAGCATTTTTCTGTAAGAAATTGTAACAAATATTAGTAAAACAAATCTAAAGTTTAGCAGTTTACTCATGCTGGCTGCATATGAAGCTATATATCAAATTAGTAGTGACATAGTGATAAGTTAGTACTGTATCAGCTGTCGTGTCTAATGTCTTTTGCTCCACACATGAGGAGTTGTGTAAGTTGAGCTTTTTTTTACGTTTCTTAAAATTTACATGCTTTTTAATGTGATAGCTAATGCTGCCTGATGGTGTGTACAAAACTTTGGTTATTCTTTAAATCAACTTACTTATTAAAAGTCAATTGACCATCATAAAAAGATTGAAAAAACTATTTGCACATGCTAGCCCTTGGGTTTCCTCTTACACTTAAAATGTTGGCTTTTCAATCTCAACTTGGTTCANCTTGACTAGCTTAAAGTTTTAGTTTTTTTTTTATTCCACTGACGAAAAGGGATTTTTTTGGCTATTTATTGACATTAATTTGGATTGTTGTTGACATGGACTGTTTATTTTTAAGTAATTTGCGTAACTGATCTACGATACAAGACACAATGTCTGTTTTACACAATGCAGTGCTTATTAATGCAACCTGACATGAGTTTTAATTAGGCCCTTAAATCATACCTTACAAATTTTGTAAGTAAATGTAAAAAAGACATAAATTATCATTAAATTACCTTTCCAGGAAGGCAAAATACAGACTGTTCTGATATTAGCTTTTCTGTGAAATCAAGGTCATCCAAAATGCCATCCAACTTGGGGATATCAATACCAACCTGAAACATGGAGTTTGATATTGAAAGCTAAAAATTTATTCCTCACAACTGTAGGTTTAATTAATGAGAAATCGCAATGTTACAAAGGGGGCGTGTTGTGTAAGTTGTAAGCACTGGGTTCCATCTTAAAAGTATTGTACAGTGTTACACTTCGGATGAAAAATATTCAAATGAAACACCCTAATCCTTCCCAATTATTTGTAACTCACCATCATGTACATTGCTCCACAAGGCATTATGGGCTTGAGTTCGGGAATTCTAAGGAGCGCCTCATAACATATTTCAGCATTTTTCTGTAAGAAATTGTAACAAATATTAGTAAAACAAATCTAAAGTTTAGCAGTTTACTCATGCTGGCTGCATATGAAGCTATATATCAAATTAGTAGTGACATAGTGATAAGTTAGTACTGTATCAGCTGTCGTGTCTAATGTCTTTTGCTCCACACATGAGGAGTTGTGTAAGTTGAGCTTTTTTTTACGTTTCTTAAAATTTACATGCTTTTTAATGTGATAGCTAATGCTGCCTGATGGTGTGTACAAAACTTTGGTTATTCTTTAAATCAACTTACTTATTAAAAGTCAATTGACCATCATAAAAAGATTGAAAAAACTATTTGCACATGCTAGCCCTTGGGTTTCCTCTTACACTTAAAATGTTGGCTTTTCAATCTCAACTTGGTTCATAGAGAAAATTTTGTGCCTTAATACTTCCTCAACACCAATATTGACTTGGGGAAACCTATACCCCTTTAATTTGATGCTTGTGTTTTAGTTTTAGAAGCTTGAGGATTGAACAGGGCTACTTAGGGCTTGACTTCTCTCTTTACCCTTGAAGTACATGTATGAACACAAAGATTTTTTGTATTTTCTTTTGTCTGATCCCCTGGAAAAGCAGTTGGGAGAAGTTAGCAAATGATCAGGAGAATTCATCTTGTCTGATAACTCTGCATGCTCTCTATATTCTCATGTGCTCTCTGATAAACATTCTGGTTAATAATAGGTGACTTTATTTTAATGTTTGGCAGGGACTAAGCCCAGGAAGCATACGTAATGGCTTATATAGAGAGACTCTGCCCAAAATTAGTACCCTCTTCAGGGGTATATGAAAGAGTAGGGATTTCACTAGTTGAAGCCTAATAATTATTATAAAAGGGTAGGGAAATCTCATTCTGGTCTGTAAAATACCTAAAAAGGCTACAAAAGGATCTTGTGGCTGTTAAAAAGTCAAGAAAATTTTCTGGTTTTGTGATTTATTTCATATTTAAAAGACCTGTGTATTTACAGCAGTTAAAAGAGATGCAAAGTTCTAGACTAGGTACGTGAAAGGGGTAATATTTGTCAATGGAAGCTAGGTAGACGAAAGGGGTGCTTTTTCCGTCAAAGACGATACATAAAATGTTAAGGGGTTCATTGGACCTCGCGACCCCAAGGAGGTACTCCGGATTTCAAGTGACAGGGATGGTCGAAGGATTTTTTTTGGGTTTCAAATGTTCGATTTTGGGATTCTTTTTGGGTAGCTTTATTTAAGTACAGATCTTATTTGGGTATTCAAAACTAATTTTTTCCATTTTTCATGTTATATCATTCAATGCTTTTTGGCAATTTTTACGACTTGGAAATTAAGCATGGGTAATAATGTTTTGGTCTAGGGATTTTTTGAGGTCTTGGTTGAAGCCCAATGGATTTTTTGGGGGTTTTAATTTTTTCCCCTTTTGATCATCCCTGGCCTGTCACTTGAAATTCAGAGTACCCCCCTGGGCTCTGGGTAGAGCCTCCCCGACTTACACTGGGTTAAAATGTGTACTTTAGTACTAACCTGAATGACTTGCATGGTATTTTCAAAGAAGCTTGATGGTGTGTTTGCTAAAATCGCTGGCAGAGCACCTTGGACAAGAGTATTAGGACCCAATATTTGCTGTGATAGGGCTATTAACCCTGGCTTCACCTATTACAAACAGTTATAGAGATTTCAAAATGAGACAGATCGCTATTCTCTCTCTCAGCACTTTTCAAAAAAATAGACAGCAAGATTGAGAGGGATGTTTATACAGATCTGTGGAACTGTGTGTGCCATATTTGATGAGTGTCGACAATTTTAACTTTTTTAACCATACCTCACTTTCAAATGCTTGATTTTTGTCGTAGATGAGAACCCAACCAAGTCTCCAGCCAGGAACAAGGTATCTAAAACAGTAAGTGTCAACCAATTATTTCAAACTTGTAAAAAACAAATTTTCAAGTTCTTTACTTTTTGACTGTGGCAGGATATACTGTAAGCTCAGTCAGTATAGTGTAGATCGCTGGAGAGCAGCTGCAGGAGGTCACCGGTTCTGTTCCATGGACCAGGTAGGGGCACAAAACTCAGGGTCTGATAATAATAATATTGGAGAAGAATGTAGTGCCTTTGCAGTAGAAAATAATTAGCTACTTCGCCTGGCTTCGACAAAATTATGACCACTTAATGTAGTGGTCCCGTCTTCAAGTAGGAGATATAAAAACAGTATCCCCAGTACACTTTCATCTAAATGAAGTGCATTTTCTTTTTCCTTTTTATCTCCAATTCTGGATTTTCATGGTGGAAGATGTCAGGTTTGGTTACCTTTTGGAAATTCCTCCACAAGTTAGAATGGGAACATTCTCTGACAACTGTGCAAGAGGATAGAACTTGTGTCCAGGAAATACCTTTAAAAAAGACATATGATTTGGTTTTACACTGGTGCAAAATTTCAAAATTATTTTTACAACTGGCTAACAGGGATATACTAGCTTGCATTTGAGTCTGAGGGGTTTATAAAAATACCCAATTACTGGACCTTCAAAGTGGCCGTTTCCTTAATTATAATTGTGTGGTCTGAATTTGAAAGCTTTAACTGTTTGTATCTGCATGCATAAAATAACATTGTACCTACAGTACTTACAGCATACTCATAAACCTCATCACTAATAATAGGAAGCATGTATCGCTCAGCCACTAGGAAACAACAGACACACTGATTAGGATCAAGACTCAGCAGTATAAATAGCATGAAGTCATCTGAGTTGAGTTTGGTTGAACATTTTTCCACAAAGCCAGGTTAATTCATATCAGTCAACCAACTACTCTTTTAGTCACAAACTAATGGACAACTAGGCCATGAGCCCTTTGCAGCTATAAGGAGTCACATGGTACAAAAACACCTTGCTGGAGAGCAAATGACACAGTGGAACCTAATTACTTTATCTTAATAACTTGGCGTCTATTATCAAGAGAGCAGATTAATTTTCACTTCCAGTTTAATTTACCATCACAGTGCATAGTACAGTATCAGCTCGATCAATACAGCAACATTGATTTACTCCTGACTTGCGTACCGCAAAGCAGGCATATTTTGCAGTGCAAACAACAACTTACTGTTAATGTTCTCCCTTGACAGAGAGTTGGGACAAGGAAAAAAAATGATTCCAAGGGAGAGGTTGTCAGTTTTTCAATTGCTTATGAGATGGCAGCTGCGATCAATGTACCTCTGAGTTTTTGTAAAAACAAATGCCTGCTCTTGCGCTGCAGGCTAGATTTAATCAAGTGGTCATGGGTTTTACTCGAACTATCTGCATACCTTAGACATCATAATTTTTTATTTCAATTTCCTTGTGTTGGCCCAATCAGCACTGCTGCTAACACNACTCCTGACTTGCGTACCGCAAAGCAGGCATATTTTGCAGTGCAAACAACAACTTACTGTTAATGTTCTCCCTTGACAGAGAGTTGGGACAAGGAAAAAAAATGATTCCAAGGGAGAGGTTGTCAGTTTTTCAATTGCTTATGAGATGGCAGCTGCGATCAATGTACCTCTGAGTTTTTGTAAAAACAAATGCCTGCTCTTGCGCTGCAGGCTAGATTTAATCAAGTGGTCATGGGTTTTACTCGAACTATCTGCATACCTTAGACATCATAATTTTTTATTTCAATTTCCTTGTGTTGGCCCAATCAGCGCTGCTGCTAACACTCCAAAGGCATTTTCATATAACTATTAATGACAGTTAAATCTATTTATTTTGTGGTTAATGCTACGTGCAAACAAACACAAGATTGTTGGCCAACAACTGCCAACGTTGTTGGTTGTTACGTGTTTTGTCTGTTTGCACACCCTGTTGCATGTTGTTTGCAGTGTGTTGTTGGGAGCTGTTGCACTAAGTTTGAAACCGGTGAAACTTTTAGCTACGTGCAAATGGACGGAACAACTCCCAACAATGCTGGGAGTTGCTGGCCAACAATGTTGTGTCTGTTTGCACAGGGCTTAACACTTTAATGCAGAAGCCAAGCCACTTGTTTATTCTCATGCAGTTTAATACATGCTTTTTATATGTACCTTCCAGGATAGCCTCTAAGTGTTCCTTAGAGTACACTGAGCCACAAGGGTTAGAAGGATTGTTCACAACGATTGCTTTGGTTCGATCATCAATCAGGGATTCAAGGTGATCAAGGTCAACCTCCCAAGACCTGTCAGGCTAAAACACATGTGCCATTATTGTTAGTAAGTCTTCATCATATAATTTGCCAAAACGTTCTTCTAACAAAACCTGTTGGGCTATTAGTATTCATTTTCCTTTCATAGGTGTCTAATATGAATAATTCTGCAGCAACCCAGAAATAGAATGAACTATCCCATTCCCCAGGTTTGCTATAGGTTTCCTTGCCATTACCATTTTGAAGATTTGTAAATAGAATAGTGTGTATAAATCTCCTTTAATGTATATATAAATGTATATTGTAAAATGTCTTTTAATGGTTATTGGCAAAATGAATATATGAATCCAATGGGACTAAACTAACAATTTTTTTATAAACTTTTTATGTTTTGTTTTTCATAACAATGGTTATCTTTTTATCTTGTAATCATAAATTATTATCCAGAACCCCTAGTGCTGAAAGGGCCGGTACCCTTATTCTTGAGCTGTAGAGATGACTGGACTTAATGAGTCTGAGCATACTGTTACATTTTAGAATCACATTCTATTAGAAGTGACTAGCAAATTTTTCCCACTGCTAATTTTCCAGGGTTCTCATTAAGTTTTGAAGGTAAAAGTAGGTGGATTGGCGGTTAAGTGCTGTAGCTGTAGTTGTAGTGCTCAGACCTCAAAGTAGCTGGTTTTTTAGGTGGTTACTAGCCAGCACTTAATGATTTTCTACAGTAAATTGGACTTTGCCAGTCACCTGTCTTCATAACCATAATTATGTCTACAGATGCCCTGACTAAGGTTAGAAGAGAGCCTGACAACATCATTTCTTACCATTAAGTTATAGTGTCTAACTTCATGACCTCTTGATATGCTCAGTGTCTGGTAGATAGAGAAGCCTGGTTTGGGCAGGAGAACGTTGTCACCTGGATTGAGCAGAACATCAAGAGCAAGCTCCAAAGCTCCTGAACAACCGCATGCTAAAACTACATCCTGGTAAAGAAAAAAACATTCAGTTTACACTAATGTAAAGATTTCATGCAGATTGAGACTTTCAAAGCAGGAGGGTATTGAGTTCCAAAGCAAAATGAACACTTAATGACTCGGCAATATGGTATTTAGATTCTGTAGAACTGTGTTTAAAATGCCAAATCAGCTAATTTTTAAACTGAAGAGCTGAAACTGCAGACATGGGACAGTTGTTTTGAAATGAAATGCGCCTAAAATGGCTAAATTATTACAGCTCATAACCCGCAATATGAAAGTAATATTGATGAGTGACTTGGCATGTAAAGCAACTTTATTTTTAATATTTATTATTTCTTTCAATACCATTTTCTAAAATGTATCAATTTAAAATCAAATAGTGACTGCACCAGTTCTTGTAAAAAGCAATCTCAAATTTCACCTCTTTGAAAGATGCCAGTTTTGGCCCCCCATTTCATCCATGACATGGTGCAAGCAGCATTCATTTTTACTGAAAATACAATTGTTTTGTGATGTGCTTAAAATTTGTAACCCTACTGTAGAAACAAACAAGTCCATTTCCTAATGTATCAAGTTGTTACAAATAAAAAATGTAATCCGTTTGGTGGATTACACTAAGTCAGCTGCATGCAAAAACTAGGGTAATTCAGAAAGCATGCACTTTTGAAACATTTTCCAAAATGTTTCAAACATTATAGGATAACAGAGTTTTTCAATAAATCATGTTATTTTTTGTCACTTTTTCATTTTAATGGTTTTTGCCAGGAAATATGTCTCAAGATTGCCAGAACAAAAAGACATGGACAAAAAGTAAAAATAATAATAGGCAATTTTGAAAAAGCATGCAGAGATATTGTGTAAAGAGAAAGTGTAAAAAACATATTTCAAAAGGAGAAATTGATTTAGAAGATTTAGAAAATACTGTAGTAACAAAAATGGATGGACTAAACTCAGAGCTCAGTATTACCCAGCTGTTGAGAGAATGTTGAGACCATTAATTTTGATCTGTACACTGTACTTGATAATGCAAGCAAACTATTAAAGGGGCAATAAAAAAGTTTGAAAACAATTGTCAGTGTGCAAAGAAAGTAGTGTCTGGTAGCCGGGGGCTAATGAATTTTGCTATTGGGCTAGTGAATTCTGTTCTTAACTTGCCCAACAGAGTTCTTTGGGGAATTCAAATTACAGAAGAACTGTCAGTAATCAATCCTGGTCATCGAAAATTTATTTTCAGGCTACTTGAAATGAATTTTGGGTTAGTACATGCTTAAGTGCAGCTTCCTTGAATGGCAAGCTGTAAAACTGACTTTCTTTGCACCCTGCCTGAATTGTGTGCAGCCCCTTTCCCTCCAATTTGCTGCAAATGGATTGTATCAAGAAATTTGTTACAAATTCTCCAAGCTCTTAATGTATTTCCTGAAACCCTGACTTTTGTTAAATTACATACTTATGACTGTATTCAGTAGCTGTATTGAATAACCAATGTTATC